TTTTGGAATGCTTCCGTCAAGGAAGCCAAACTTCTTGCGCGAGCTGAGTGCCATACGGAAATTGATGGCCCATTCGTCATAGTTTGTACCAGTGAGCAGTGGTTGAGAGATTATAGCGCCAGGATTGTCGTTTGATGAGAGGTCATAAGGAGAGATGGTTTTGCGTTTTGGTTCTGTGGGGACGTTTGCAAGAGCCATGGTTCACAGATGAGCAAAACGGAGATGATAATGAAGTCGATGAGGATGATGATGAAGGATGCTTCTGTTTTTCGTTTAGAAGAAAAAAAAACAGAGAGATTAGGTCAAGATTTTGTGAATAAAATCGAGACTGGATGCCAAATAATCCTCTGTTTTCGTGAATGAGAACAGAGTTTTGATAATGATAAGAGGAATCAAGCTTAGAAGAGATCAAGCTTGATTTAGGTCAAAAAAAAACGAAGGAAAAAAAATTAGATCGTTTCTTGCTCTGATACCATGAGAAACTTTAGAAGGATGAATATACGATCTTATTATTTCACAAACCCTTAGGTTTAGTATTTATACAACCTAGACTTTCCTGATTCTAAGGAGATATGAACTTATCTAGAATGTAAAATATACAATTCAGAAGATATCGAATATACAACTAATATTCGTCTAATAGATTCTAAGGAGATATGAACTTATCTAGAATGTAAAATATACAATTCAGAAGATATCGAATATACAACTAATATTCGTCTAATAAATTTGGAAGAAAAACAAACCAACAAAGGGGGTTCTTGACTATAAACAAGGAGGAAAGGCTTGGTACCACACCACAGTAATAGATCGCAAGGAAGCGAGTGGAGACACACAAACCTCATCATCCATTGGTCATAACGTCGAGAAAACTCCAACAAAATACTGAAACAGATTGGAAGTAATAGTTAACTTCGGGCCTAAAGCGGCGGATCTGGCGGATCGGCGGATCTGGAGGTTTCGGTGGCTTGATAGATCTCGTCGGAGTCATAGAGATCAGACTTCGAAGGAGGGCTGGAGACATGAACAGCTCAAACAGAGACGAAAAAGAGAAGGCTGAAAGCAGGAGATTCCACATCCCAATAGCTACACAAACCATGGAGAAACTAGACGAAAGATCTCGCCGGTGACAAGGACCACCAACGGAAATAAAATATGGATTTGGGGGAAGGGTTGGGAGACCCACCAAAAGGAGTTGAAGATGTTTAGAAGGAGGACCTTACGGAGGAGCACTCATCTTGAACCAGCAAGACGGCGGCAACCACATTGAAAAACGTACCTGGGAGAATTTGAAATTTAAAATTCAGAACTTTCTTTCTTGATTTTATATAATTATGGTTATATTATTGTTTAGAAGTAGTTTACATTATTTTAACCAACACCGAAATGATTTTTAAAAAAAATCAAATCTAATTGACATTAAATTGAACAAAACCAAATAATCACCAACTTATTTTTAAGTGAACCTAATTACGGATTTGAAGACTTCTATACATAAAAAATTTTATATGTAGAAGATTGAGCTTTTTTGCAAAGTGATACAAAGCATGGTATCTTTAGTGGTAAAAACAATAAAGATTAATAGAAAGTGTAGGAATTTAGTATTCGATAGAAAAGTAGATTAGTTAATGTAATGTTCTTAAGTATAATCTTTCTTTTATAAAAGAATATAAAGTATGCTATTTTATGAAAATACTAAAGTTACTTGATCAAAATGTTTAATGAGAAATTATACTATTTTAATAATTAAAGAGTATAAATATGGTTGGCATTTTCTCATAGAAAATTGTTAAAGCAAACGATTTTTCTATGGATGGTAAATTGAGGACTAGCTGAGTCTAAACAATTCAGTAATTGAATCCATGTATTCATAGACTCAAACCTACATATATAAACAAAAATAGTCTTGAGTGCTAAAGAAAATAAAAAAAAACTTACCAAAAAGAGAAATAAATTTATTTCAATGTCTGACGCGTGTCATAATATGTCAAACTTTCTCTTTTAAACACAAAAGCTCTCATAAATCGGAAAAAAGATAGTCAGCTACACGAAGTATAACAGAATACATGGCTACACATGCCAAATTTAAAAATATACAACCAACTACACGAACTAAATATATTGCATGCCCACATATACCAACTATATGACGACATGTAGTCAACATCACGAACATTTTATTCCGGTACACTAATCATCAAAATTCGGCATTGACCATCGTTGACCGGTATTGACCAACAAAAATATTCAAAAATATATATTTTTATTTATTTTAAATGTTTTTAAAAAGAATTATTCTATAGAATCGGTTATGGTGTTGTATAATAATAATAAAAAAACACATTCTATATTTTTAAAATATATATATTTTGTATGATAATAATAATTAGTTAATTTTTTCAATTTCAAAACTAAACTAAAAGCGAAATAAAATTCTATTACAAAAAAATTGGGTATATGACTCTTTAGTCTAAATTTTGCATGGTAAAAATATATAAAGTTTTTTGCTAAAATCAAAATCATAATACATAAAAAAGATATATAGAAAATTTTATATATTCTTTAGTCTAAATTTAATATATTTTTAAATTTTTGTAATTAAAATTATTAAAACAAATTCTCGTAATAACGCGTAAACAACAAAAAAATTCGCAATGTTTCTTTTTAATATATAGAAAATAGAAAATCTAACGATATTGATTTTAGCAAAAGCATTTGTAAAATAAGAAGTTAATGTTTTTTATTGACAATGTACAAATAAGTAATTCGCTTAATTATTTTTATTTCACTTTTATTTTAGTTTTTAAATTGAAAAAACTAACTAATTATAATAATCAATATATTAAATATATATACAAAATATATTTATTTTGAATTTAATATGTATTAGTTTTGTTTTTAATATTAAAATAAATAAAAATAATTTTTTTGCATATTTTTGTTGGTCAATGCCGGTCAACGATGGTCAACGCCGGATTTCAACGATTGGTGTACCGGAATAAGATGTTCGTGATGTTGACTACATGTCGTCATATAGTTGGTATATGTGGGCATGCAATACATTTAGTTCGTGTAGTTGGTTGTACATTTCTAAACTTGGCATGTGTAGCCATGTATTCCGTTATACTTCGTGTAGCTGAATATCTTTTTTTCTCATAAATCATTAAAATTCCATAATTGTTCATTACAACTTAATAGTATAAATGACTATTTTACCCTCAAGTTGATATTGTATAGCTCCTCATCTCAAAATCTTAAAATTACAACAATATCTAAAAGTGCTATTATTAATGGGCTATATTAATATCTATGCTCAGAAGACTTAAAAATTAGATTTGTACCATTGATAATTCAAAAATTAGAAAAGTAGGAAAGAGAAAAAAAATTAAAGCCATAACTATCCTTCTTATTTTGTTTTAATTACACAGAATGCCATTGCTGAATACACTATTCATTATCGGGTACTGTACACATGATACTGTTTATCAACTGTTTGACGATACTATTCATCTGAGATTGCTGATACTATTTATCACCGGATTGCATAAAACATTTTGTGATTTGTGTGGATAAATATTTGATCAACGTGTTAACTAGTACAATATCGCGATAAATTCATATATTATGTGTTAAATGTATATTTATCGTGTTAAACCAGTTATCATATCATATAAATTAATGTGAATTATATCAATTTTAAATTGTGAATTATAATTTACTCTATTCATCAAATACTTGGGTAAAAATATATATGAGTTAGGTGATTATCTATTAGGTTACCATGTTAACAACCAGGTTAAATCATAATGTATTGCGGTAACTTTATAAATATGTGATAAATTAATATTTATCGTGCTACCTCATTGATTATATCATATATAAAATATAACGAGTTATATATAGTATAGTATTTGTGTAGATAACTATTTAATTAACATGTTAACTAGTATAGTATCGTAATAGATTCATAAATTATGTGTTAACTATTTATTTACCTTGATATAAAACTACGGTAAATAGAATTGTAACGGGCTAATTTTTCATTTAGCAAAGTATCTCACCTTTTTCTAAATGATGTTCTATTACGAGAAAATTTTGATTGAAACGATTTCAACACTTTGAAAATCCGATTGATGACATCAATTGCGATGTTTTGTTACCAGAAAATTGTAGGCGGAGCCTTTGATGCACTGGATCTAATAAATCCCTCTCGCTCAACTCCGAATCAAACCGCGGTCTCGTCGTCACCATCGTCTTTCTTAACTCTCGACGAAGTGATAGCCGTCTGACATAAATCAGATGACGAACGGTTAGGACTGAGTGTGTTGGTTATCTCCGACGATCCACACCGCCGCTCGTTGGTTATGGAAATAAGCTACGGAAGTGGCCGGAACTCCAATCATCTTCATCGTCTCTATGTCCGGTAAACCAGCCCCGTCACAAGTGAATCACACAACTCTCCGATTTGCTTTTCCGGCCAACTTCTGATTTTAATATCTTTGTTTCGATTTTAGATTTATGTTGCCATTATTATTGTCATGGTTTTGTGTCGTCGGAGAAACAAAAGAAAGAAGAAAAGACAACAGAGATATTAAAGGGGTAAAAGAGTCTAAAAGATGGTGAAATTAATATTTGCACAGTGACCAATAGTGACCAATTGGTCAAACTAATTAATGAGTCGTCCAGGCATAGATATTGATATTACTCATTATTAATTACATCCAATTATCTAAGTAATTACAGTATGTATTTTTTTTTTGTTTTTTACTGGCCCATAGTTTTATATTTGACTCGGTTATAATATCTATAAAACGTGAAAAACAATGATTTCCAAAACAGAATCATGGTTAAATTTAATGACTTGAAAAAATATTTGACAAGTCAAAGTCTTTGCCTCTCAATTTCTACAAAATTCATTAATACATTTCTTACCTTTTAAATTGATTTTTACCTTTTTTGTTTATTTAATTATTTTAAAAATACACTCTTTTTTAACCACTCACTTTTTATCATCTTATCTGTGTATTTTTCTTTCTCGGATTTTATACAACTTTCTGCCCATCTTTGGTTTTCACTATTTGTTTGCGGATTTTTACACTCGATCTCTATACTTCTTAGCTTCGTACCCAGATTTAATCTGTTTTCAATTTTAGAATCATCATTTCGATTCGAGTTGGTGTTTAAATGGAATTCTCATTGATTTCCGATGAAAATTCCATCACAAACGACGCCCATCGATGTCCTGTTAACGATGATGCGTCTTATATACCCAAAAATCATCTTAACTTTTTCAGTAATAATCTAGGTCAATATCTTCTCTTACTCGATGGTCTTTTTCACCAGATCTGACCGATATCTCTAATCAGAACCACCACCAAAATCTTATACCTTTGATCCCAATTTATGATTCTCAAAATCAAAATTTGGTTACTAATCAAAACCATTTGGTTTACAACTCTTCCTCATATGAAATTCCATCAAACTACCCATTCATGAGTATCACATCCTACTCAAATACTGATCCCTTTGAGCAATCTATGAATAACATAGCCAACAACAAAAAAATCGATATAATCGATAATAGCCCAATTTTTGCAAACCCTAAAGGTATGTTCGAAAATTTTAATGATTTGTGGGGAAATACTATAGGGGATGAAATTGTACACAATGAGGAGCTTATTAATAAGGATTATGAGCCAGCTCTTGATCAGATGATGGGTGAACCTCAATCATTTGATGTGCCAGTGCCAAAAGGTATCAAAAACACAACCAAAGAAATCATGAATCAACGTGAAGATGGTAAGATGAAAAAAACTTATCAAAAGAAGAAAAAAAAGGCGGTGAGCACAAGCAAATATTTGAAGAACAGTGACATCATCAAAGTAAAATGGACAGAATCTGAGGACATGTAAGTCTTCATATTCTTTTTATTCTCATTATTCACTAATACAAAAATTAAAACTAGTATTCAATTTCATCCTTGGAAATTCTCATATAATATTTTTTTTATTGTATGCCTTTTATTTTATTTTTTGAGGATGTGAAAATATCTTGTAATATATATAGAAAATTGAAAGAGCTAATGGCGCTTGGGCTCCAAAAATGGACAACGATCGCAAAAAAGTTTGAAGGACGAACAGGAAAACAATGCAGAGAGAGGTGGCATAACCATGCTGGTCCTGACATTAAGGTGTTGTGTTCTTTCATCTCCCTATATTCTTATATTTATAATTTAATATAAACGATCATCACAACTTATATGTGTATATATAAATGTTACAAATAACTATGGCATTATCATGATTTTTTTTTTTTGTTTATTATTAATCATGTAGATGCATATGTTTTTGTATGAAAGCAATTTCGTACTTACAATGTGCACGCACACATGTATAGTGTATAGATTGCAATTCATATAGTTTAATAGTGGTGTGGCTAACGATTTAATATCAACCTGGATACAAAATTCATTGGCTAATTTTATTTTCTCATAGTTATTAAAAGGTGTTATTAAAACGTGCATCTTTCTAGTTTCTATATCTTCTTTCCTTCAATAAAAAAATGTCATAGGCATACAATAATAAGAGCATGATTTATGTATATGTAAATACACACAATTATATATAAATAATATGTGATTTCAGAAAACTAAATGGAGTGAAGAAGAAGAACAAATATTGATTGAAGAACACAAAGTAGTTGGTACCCAATGGATCAAGATCGCACAGAAACTTCCGGGGAGGAGCTATAACAATGTTAAGAACCATTGGAACAGCACAAAGCGTAAGGTGCAAAATCAAAGTGGTGGAACTGTCAAACCTGTCGGCAATAACATCCTTGAAAACTACATAAGGTATGTCACAATCAACAACGATGATTTTCTCAAGACCGCTGAATCCGATGGTGAAACAACAAACAGTGAGAATGATGATGACTCTATAGATATGTTATATGGGGAGATGAATTTGAGTCTGGAGGCTACAGCGGAGACCACCAAACCATTGACCGATGCTTCTACAATATTACCTTATATTCCGATGCCAGAAGAGAATTCTACTGTGGAGGTTTGTAAAACAATGGAGGACATACTGGAGCTGCTCAGTTGGTGGGAATAATTTCCAGTGAAGGAAATTTCTTTGATATGATATTTTTTCACTATCGTGTGAGATAATATATCTATCTATCTATCTATTGATCTTTTTCTCTTTTTAATCAACTTTTAATTTACACCGTTTTGGTGTCTATATCTCTATCTATCTTTTTACTAGACATATATATGTTATGTTATGTGGTGTACTATTTTAATTGAGCGACATAGTATATTTTCTTCATATGGCTAAATTAATCAACAACAATTTCCCAGCTTACAACTATTTGCGTACTTTAAACTTCTATTAAAAGAGAACTACAAAATTATTTTTGTGTACAAGAGAAATCTTGGTCTTCGGATCAATAGTTTCTCTAAATATAATTTGTAAAAGCCAACCCTATGATTTGTAAAATCCATGTGTTACACAAAAAAAATTGAAAAACATTCATGACCTGATATAATTTTCTTTTGAAATTGTGTATTGGCAGACAAAACAAATTGCATCGTGATTTAAATTCAAAACTTTGACTTGCTCAGGAAACACCATGATTCATCGTCTTTTTTGTCATATGTTACATCATAATTAAAAATATTTGTTCTAATTTTATTATGATAATAGACTACATGTAACATATGCGATTACGATTTTGAATTGTAATATGTTTTAAGAGAATTTAACATTTAAGCGTGTTTGACGACCTATAACAATATCATTATAAATGACATATCTAAAAGTGATTTTTAATATTATGCGATTGAGGCTAAAACCTTAAAAAAAAAAAAAAAAACTTTGGGGATCTGTAAATTTGTAAACAAGTCTTTCGAATAACCTGAAGTAGTGAATCAACTGTGGAACAAAAGTGGATCTACATACCAAAAGCATGTGTGCGAAGCCACATACGAGGTTAATAGTACGTGAGCCGTGAGCCAAGTCCAAACGAATACAAATTCATACTTCTAGGGATGATTTTTTTGATATGCAACAAGAATGTTCCATTCGGAAAAAGAAAATGATTGTAATACTCCGGCTTTAAAAAAAATTGATAGGGAGATGAATATGAGTTTGGATGCTATAGCTAGAACAGAAACCGCCGCACTGTTATTAGTTGATGTCTCTACAATATCAGTTTATGTTCCAGGTCCAACATCATCTACTTGTGAAAATGGTTTTGCGGAGCTTTGTGAACCAATGTATAATACATGGGAATTGGATTGGCACAAAACTTTATTTACGGAATCATTTCTTGTGTCCATTAAGTAACTAACCATAGTTTAATACTAAAAGTCGTTACTCGAAATCGAAATTGTGGTGGAAAACTACATAGTCCCATCTCCGAATGGTGGTGATTTTCCCATCTCTTTATTATTTAACATGGATATTTCAAAAGCTGATGTCAAAATATTTTTGGCGTAGGATCACATATTTTTGGATTCGTTACTTACATAATTGAAATGAAGCTTTTAATTTCTTTTGATAAATCTATGTATTTTCAAAAAATTTATATTTTACAAATTGATATCTTTTTAGACTTCGGAGTGAAGTATACATATACATGCATAGGTTAGTTTTCTTTTGTCTTGCTTTAAATTCGTGTCAGCGGAGAAAGCGAAAACATCTTTTAAATCTCATGAAATAAAACGAAAATAAAAACTAAAAGAAGAAAAAAGTTGAAACTTGGAAATCATGCAAAGCCACACCTCTATTACTCTAACATCTCACTGTCTTACGTGTCCTCTTCTCATCACTCTAACTTCTTCTATAAATAAACCTTCTCCAAACTTTTCTAGTTTTATTACAAAGAAAATAAGTAAAACATTTCCTCATTATCTTACAATGGCGGATACACATCGTGTCGACCGTACTGAAAGGCACTTGCAATTTCAGTCGCCGTATGAAGGCGGCCGAGTTCATCTTCAGTATGAAGGTGGCGGCGGTTACGGTGGCGGCGGTTACAAGAGCATGATGCCTGAAAGTGGCCCATCTAGCACCCAAGTAATGTCTATTTTTATTTTATATTAATACATTCTCTTAATCTTCATACATACAAAGTTATGAAATGATTCTTTACGGATTAAGGGAGACTATATTCAAGGAATCTTGAAATTTTTGTTGAAATACATGTTGAATGATTTTGACACTGTAAAATTGTTCATTAAAACTGTTAGATTTATATGGTTACATAAAATGTCTTCTTGATCTTATTATTATGATTGTAAGTTAAATATGATCTTCAAAAGATCACAATAATGGTCAAATTGAAATGGATTTGTGATTATACCTTTTTTGATCTCATGTTTATGATTGTTAATCGGACAAAATTTTTGAAGTGTCACTTCAAACTTTCCGATCAATATGGTTACATGCATTTATACTTTTTCTTATTCTGTTTTTATGATTGTTAATTGAATATAATAAATTTTGCAATTATACGCATATAGCTTTTTTCTTAATTAAGTTTGCATGCATATATATACTTTTTTTGTCTTGATTTGAATGTAATGATCATTAACTTGTATCATCTTTTGAAAAGGTATTGTCCCTTTTGATTGGCGTCCCTGTCGTTGGTTCGCTACTTGCCTTGGCCGGTTTACTTCTAGCTGGTTCGGTGATTGGCTTAATGGTCGCTTTACCGCTATTCCTCCTCTTTAGCCCGGTTATAGTCCCAGCGGCTCTAACCATCGGGCTTGCAATGACGGGCTTTTTAGCCTCGGGAATGTTTGGTCTAACCGGGCTAAGCTCAATCTCATGGGTCATGAACTATCTTCGTGGGACAAGGAGGACAGTGCCTGAGCAATTGGAGTATGCTAAGAGGAGAATGGCTGATGCGGTTGGCTACGCTGGGCAAAAGGGCAAAGAAATGGGCCAGCATGTGCAGAACAAGGCCCAAGATGTTAAACAGTATGATATTTCTAAGTCACATGACACTACCACTAAGGGTCATGAGACTCAGGGGAGGACGACGGCTGCATGATGAGTTTTCGGTATGAACGGTAGATATGTGTTTTCAATATGATGTCCTTTTCTGCATTTTCAATATGATGTCCTTTTCCTGCATTTTCAATATGATGTTATGTGTTTTTTTTGTTTGGCTTTTTGTTGAACCATGTTATGTGTTTTGTGTTTTTGTAAGCATGAAAGATCGCAAGTGTTGTGGTAATATTTGAGTGTGTAATAATTCTTCTCCATCGTCACTTTGTCAGAATGTGTTGTAGACAATATAATACAATATAATATGATAAGTTGATAAATCATGGAATATCTGGTATACACTTTTATAAATTTTTTTATCTTATGTAGTTGTAGATTTGATAAATAAATAAACATCAGTGACAAAAAAAAAAAAAAAAAGTTGTAGATTTGATAAATTGATGAAAGTAATAATGGAAGAGTTATAATAGACTCTTATCCAAATAATGGTATATATATGATACATTGATAGATTTTTAATATCTTTTTCGATTTTCATTATTTTCATATATTTTTGAACAATTATTTTGATCGTTTGATTATTGTTTCGGTCGATCTCACTCGATCTCTCAATAAGATTAGAGAGAACAATGGAATTTTGTAAAGAGAGGAAACACTCAAATAAAAGGTGAAAAGAATTCCGAGTGCACTATAGAAGCCAAGACTTTTTTCTTACTGAAAGCCCAATTTTTTTTTTTATGCTCTTTAAGTCTTTATAGTTGCATTCGCATACACCTTTAAAAAAAATGTAAATAATAAATTTTATATGATAGGTCCCAGATATAGGACAATCAATGTTGATCAAGAACAAAGACAAGAACACTTTGGTTCTCAAAGACTTTAGAACAAGTTACTATAATTTTTCTCTTCCCTTAGATTGTGCAATAAACATGCTTAAATACACAAGAAAATAAAGTAACAACTAAGGCACGTAAAACGTGGGTAAGTAAACACATTGCCACTAACTACAATAATTAAAATAACTAAAACTCTTGGCCACGTAATCTTCTTCCTCAATTTGTATCTCATCATTATATATATATCATTCTTTTTCTACTTCCTCACTTTGAAATATTGACGTAAATTTAATTCTTAAAGTCTTACGTTTTTTTAGCGATTAAATTAGGGGTAAAATTTTACTGAAAAAAAATTGAAATCCAAATAAACCGAAAACCAACTTGAACCGAGAAAGAGTAGAAATTAACCTTCTTAAGAAATCATAATTTTATGGGTTACTGGTAAGAATTTTAAGATTTTATTTTTATTGGTATATGGATTCTTATATTTCTAATAAAATATTGTTATCAGTGTGATGATTTTATAACTCCAATCCTCTCTTATTCAAAAAGTTGAGTATTTAATGATTTTGTAATTCTATCAAACTCTAGTGCTATGGGAACAATAATTCTTGAAGTTATTTAAAAAAAAGCCATTATTCTTAGAATGACTTTCAGATTTGGGCATTTTCCCAAATGCCTTTCGGATTTAGGTACTCCACCTTTTTGAGATTATGCTTTTGTCCTTCTCCACACTACGTCATTCTCGCCTTCTGTTTTCTCCTCCGTTTAGAAACGACACATTCGCAATCGCGGGTTTACTGTAACAAAAACGTCACTTTTTCTACAATGTCTGTGTTCTCGCTCCGTTTTGATGGTTAGCACCCAGAGTAAGAGAGCTGAGGCAGCTGCCGCATTTTTCCGTTCCCAATCGGCCGTTTCCCCAAAAAAGAAAAAGGCTAAAGCTGTTCATAACTCGCTGGCAGAAGAATCTCGTTGTCGGAATACAATTCCAGGTTAAATCCGAAGTTTTTGTTTTTCAATTTGCAATCTGTTGTATTTCTGCATTTCGGTTGATGTGATAATCAAGTTGTCAAGGTTTTGAAATGCTCAAATCTAAAACTCCAATTTTTTGCAGATTCATCAAATAGCGATACCACTGCTACTATTGGTGAAGGTACTGTGCTCTTTTTTGCCCCCTTATAGTGTTACTGTAAAAACACCTTTATTCATTCTGCTTTACAGTTTCTGGGATTTTAAATTGCATAAGCTTTTGAGTTTTTTGTATGTAATAATCAATTTTCACGAAATGTCATGTAACACTAAAGGCTCTGCGAATAGTTGTCGTCGTACTTTCCTCGTATTAGCCTCTGTTTTTGTTTCGTACTGCTAACATTTATCCTGTTATTTTTTGATATCTTCCGTTCTATGCTGACTGTGCTATAAAACAAGGGATGTCATACTTTTTGATTATAGGGACCACTCCTGTTGATGTGTCTTCTTCACAGGCTCAATCTGAAAGTACGATATAAAGACTCCTCTTTTAACTTTGTTTCCAACATCAGCTTATTTTTTCTTTTTCAGTTTATATCTTTCATCTATGACGTATCTACATTATAGAAATGCTGTTTTTAGATCATGTATTTATATGTCCTTCCTTTTTTCTCTAAAGGCTCTTCTCCACGTTCACCCACCTCCACGTCAGGGTCTAACATCGACAAAACTATTACATCTTCAAGTGATAGCTTGTCAAGAAAGGATGTACCTGATTCTGCAGATGGGGAAACTAGTGTTGCTGGGGTTTTATCCTCTTCCACAGGTCTGTACGTTGGATATAGTGCTGCTTATGGTGCTTTCCAATATTTACATATGTACCAAAATCTGTTGTCCTTTCCTACACCTTATAGATGAGGATAACTTTGGAAAAGCTGATGACCAAGTGTTGCCAAAGCGTTTCTTTTCTACTGATCGCTACCCAACCCGAGGGAGAGTCAACTCATACTCGAAGCCCCAGTATCTTGTTGATGTATTATCAGTTCTTGATGGGACGCCAGAACTTGTAACCCTAAAGAGATCGCCTTTCAGCTCGTTATTTGAACTCCCGGTTCGGCGTTGCTCATTGTCTGGTAAACTTGTACACAACTTTCTGTGTAGGCAAATTGTTACAAAGAATTCTGACGAGGTGTGGTTCACGTTTGGAGGCTATCCACTGAGATTTTCTTTGTCTGAGTTCGAACAAATAACTGGTTTACCTTGTGGTCCTTACCCTTCACCAGCAAAACTTGCTGCTGTGCAAACAGCTCCGGAAGATTCAAAGCATTACTGGTATACTCTTCTCGGGAGGGAAGATGAATATACAATTGAGCATATTGTGAATATGCTCAAAGCTGAACCTGCCATGCCAGGATGGAAAAAAATTCGTCTTTCGCTTATAGTTATTGTTGAAGGTGTTTTAATATGTGGGACTCAGCCTATCCGTGCTTCCTTACCTATTGTAGAAATGGTTAGAAACCTAGATACTTTCTACTCCTATCCTTGGGGTCGACATGCTTTTGACCATACGCTTCGTATGATTAAAGTTGGGGAGAAAGTCAGGAACCACAACATCCTGATCAACAAGCTGCAACAAAAAACCTTGGTTATCCATGGATTTCCAATAGCTATACAATTGCTGCTGTTCCAGTCAATACCCCTCCTCCTTCGTTATTTGCCATCATCTGAGGATGCCCAGACATTTTATGATATGAGTTTGTCTGTCTTACCGACGTTGAAGACGTATCACACTAATAACATCTTACTGGTTGAAAACGACAAAGACGTGAGTACTTCTTGTGCTTTTATAGTTTTAGGTTTTCTAACCCAATTATAACCTTGTTTTCTACTTTACTTGCAGCTGATTGTTTCTCAACCTGTGGTTTCCACTGAAGAGGACTGTGTCTCTGTTGGTGATCCTAAAGTTTCCCATTTGCTGAGTTTAATTCGAGGAGGTTATAGGTTTTCTAAGGGAGACTGGCGGGGTGGTGATGCGTCACTAGCAAAGTTGTGCATCTGTGATAAAAAAAATATTGTCGTTGCAGCTGTGGACCTGATTATTCTCCGCCAAATACATGTACACCAGCTCCTGTGCCAGGACTTTTATCTTCAAATGCTGATTCCGAAGCTATTGCTAAACTGACAGCAGAAGTTGCACATCTTAAAAACACGTATGCGGAGTTATATGTAAAGCTGAAAGCAGATGTTGTTGTTGAGGTTAAATCTTTTTTGGAGGCACGTACATGTGGAAGTTGCAGCAGAAATTGTGGTGTCGCAGCCTCGAGGGCGGATTCACTATCTGCTGCTGTTGTAGATACCCTTAAACCTGTTAGCAGTAGTAAACCATTGGAAGAAGAAGAAAATGTAGCTTTGCCTTCTGAAGTTAAAACTGGAAAACCCAAATTCTTCTCTTCTGATACAGGCCGCGTATATGGTTGCGTGGAAAATTGTTCAAAGGTATATAATTCCACGCTAACCCTACACATGCTTTTATGTTACATACATTTGCTTCTTTTTAATCATCCATTATTCGTTTCTTTTACCTAATTGAATTTTGGTATAGGATGTCACTGTCATCCCTGAGAGTAGGCTGCAAACTGGAGATTCCTCTTTCCAGACGTCAGTGCGTGAAGATGATGTTCCTTCTAACCTGCAGGTATATGTTCACTTATATTTCATGAATGTTGAGAGTTGTACCTTTAAACTACGTTTTAATTGACTCTTCCCCTGTACGGGTGGCTGAAATGCCTCCACAGCTAGGTCAAAAATATTTAAAGCCTATGAAAGGTAGAAATAAGAGAGGAATGATTTCAAGTACCCGCTGTAACGTGACTAAATCCCCAAAGCGGCAGAAACAAGGGCTGCCATGCCATGTTGATTACATTTCCTTTCATCCTGTTCCGCAACGGCTTATTGCAACTTTTAAAAACCAGCTTTTGTCTTACCGCAACTCGTGCGTTTCTATAACAATTTTTCCTTCCATTACATTTTGTGCATCTACTCACTTCCTGTTTTCCATTTGTTGTTTTACAGCACTTACGATATTGATGGCTGTGAAGTTGGTAAAACCTTCTTTTCCGACATTTACACCCCACAAAAGTGGATCTTCTCAACAGTGAGTTATCTTCTTTGTCTATGCCCTCATCATTCAGTAACTTAATTTATATGTCCATCTACTCTTTAACCCCAATACAAAGTTTATCTAATATGGTTTTTCTTTCCAATTACTAGATTTATATCTTTTAACATCTTCTTTAACCCCTTCTCCACTATCACCCTTGCAAAAAAACCTTTTCCACAACTTGTTATATATGTATACCCTTTATTTCATCCTTTTGGTTGTCTTCTTCCACATCTTCCTCAGGCATTTTTTTAACCCACTGCTTTTTAACACGTTTCTTTACGTGACTTTGGTATTTG